CCTTCTCCTCTGGCCGCGCTGACCATCCCTGGACACACTGACTGGCCACGCCCCTGAACTCTGCGGCCGGGCTCTGTGGTGGGGTCTTGTCCTCCTCTTGTCCTTCTTTTGTCCTTTGGCCGCGCTGACCAGCCCTGGCCACACTGACTAGCCGCGCCCCTGAACTCTGTGGTCGGGCCTCCTGTTGTGTTCTCGTGTCCTGCTCTTTTGTTGTGTTCTCTTGTGGCGGAACAATTAGCGTAATTAGCGGTGTCGATGCCGACAAAGACCATTGATAAAGCAGTTTGTTTTTTTGGGGGGTAGGGCGCACCGAGAAATCGTTTTTGACTAAGATTGGTCGAAACGAACCCTTTTGAAACTGTTTGGGGTCTATGCTGGTATACTTTGGTGTGCAACATTTTGGTGCTCGCACTGGTTGCAAGAGAGGGCACGTGGACCCAGGAGAGGAGAGACACATGTAAAGGTTGCAAGAACAGGTTTGTGCTCGGCCCGGTTATATTTTAGGGCAAGCAGAGTAACACACATCGCACACCCAGTCTTTGCATAGCACTCGTGGGTCGTTCATGTCTTTTGCCATAATTTCCGCTGTGCGCTTTCCAGATGTTAAGTTTCGGTCCACGCTCGGCTGGGCCTGTTTCCAGCGGCCATTCCTTCACAGTCATTTTCAGTTGCAAGATGAGAAACCATGGGGTGCTACACATACAGTCCAGTTCACATGATGCAGAAACAACCGTTTTGACTCCTTGTGGGTGCCAAGTTGTCGCGCAGCGGGACCAGTAATCAAGTGCCCAAACACATTTTGGATACCTTTGCAGTGCTAAGTAGGTGAAGGGCGGCAAACGACAATCAAATGCCCCGCCAAGCTGCACATTGCTTGCGTCAGGGATGCCCCGGCGGCGAAAAACAGGGGAAACAAAACGCAATGAAGTCGGAACTCGGAACCCCCAGAAAATGTTTTGTAGAGGATCTTTGTTACAGGGCATAAAAGTTCTTTGTTAGAGGATCTTCGTTAGAGGATCTTGGCCACCGCTTGGTGTTCTGCGGCTTAACTTGGAGATGCTACCTTGTCGCGCTAGCAAAATGCAGGGTTGCGCTAGGTTTAGCGTGTTTGGCGCTAGGTTCAAAGACTTAGGTAGGATTAACAAACAACACATACACGCATTGGCAATTAAACTTGTTGAGGTATGAACGGACAGTCCTGCCGTTGTGGCTGTGGTTGGTTTATGTAAGCTCGGAAAGCTGGCTAGACAGCCGTTTGGTGGCCTGACGCACTGGCAGGGGAGCGCGCTAGATCCCCGCTAGACCCGCGGTAGAAACGCACTAGACCATGCTGCAACTTTGACCATTTGGCCAACGGCTTACCAAG